ACTGACATTTTCCAGCAGCTCATGCTCATAAACCCCTAAACTCCTTGTTTACTGCAAGACATCAAGAAAGAACAAGTATATCCTGCTGAAAGCATCTCACGGATAAGAATCTCTGGTTGCTTTCCTCTAATAAATACCATGAGATCTGATTAGCATGTTTACAAAGAAGTTTGACCAAGGGATGTCTCCTCAGACATCACCAGGTTGGGAGAAAGAATGGATTATAGACTAGTTACCCTTTTCCTTCCTAGCAACCCGGGACTCAGATTTTTCAAAAACAAAGGCCTGCGTCACCCCAGCAGACAAATGAGTTACAAAAAATGAAGTACTGGCCCACCATGAGGAAATGTAGAAGACGTGTGGGAAACAGATGAGTATCAGTAATGGTTTGGGGGCCACATAACAATGAGGATTGTAGTTTGCTCTGGTAAACATATTGTATTGAAAATTTTAAATAGCTATAGCAGTGTACAAATGCATGCCCAAGAATGTTCAGAAAATAATTTTTTTCGAGGAAAGATTGCCTTTTATATTGTTTTTGGAACAGAGTCTCGCTCTGTTTCCCAGGGTGGAGTGCAGTGGCGTGATCTTGGCTCACTGCAACCTCTACCTCCAGGTTCAACCGATTCTCCTGCCTCAACCCCCCACTAGCAGCTGGGATTACAGGTGCTGACCATGCCCAGCTAATTATTTTATTAGACAGCGTTTCACCATGTTGGCCAGGCTGGTCTGGAACTTCTGACCTCAAGTGATCAGCCCGCCTCGGCCTCCCAAAAGTGCCGGGATTATAGACATGAGCCACCGTGCCTGGCCTGTATTGAAAATTTTATATAGATCATGGCTGAATCTTTCCTTAAAGGCTTAATGGCTAAATGAACTTACATATAGAAATGGGGCTGGGTGCAGTGGCTCATGCCTGTAATCCCAGCACTTTGGGAGGCACAGGTGGGAGGATTATTTGAGGCCAGGAGTTCAAGACCAATCTGAGCAACATAGCAAGCCCTTGCCTCTACAAAAAATAAAAAAATTAGCGGGGTACTGTGGCACGCAACTGTAGTCCCAGCTACTCCAGAGGCTGAGGCAGGAGGATTGCTTGAACCTAGGGGGTTGAGACTTTAGTGAACCTTGATTGTGCCCCCTGCACTCCAGCCTAGGTGACATAGTGAAACTTTGTATCTGAAAATAAATGAAAAATTAAAAAAATAGGGAAATGAGCATTTTCAAGAAGCACAAGGATTGCGCAGTAGCAGATGTCCATATTATACTCTCTTGTACACCTCTAATTTTAACCTGAGCCTCGCTGTTCAGTCTCATGAAAGCAGACTCACTTGATTCTACCATACTCTCACCTCACACACGTGCCATACATCTTTTAGTATTCTGCTCTGGGGTCCTTTCTGATGTCATTTATCCCATAGAAAATACCTTTGGCAGGCTGGGCATGGTGGCCCACACCTGTAATCCGAGCACTTTGGGTGGCTGAGGTGAGTGGATCACCTGAGGTCAGGAATTCGAGACCAGCCTGGGCAACAAGGTGAAACTCCATCTCTATGAAAAACACAAAATTTAGAGATCATGCCACTGCACTCCAGCCTGGACAACAGAGTGAGACTTGGTCTCACAACAACCACAACAAAAAATTAAAAATGGAAAATAGCTTTGGCCGGGTGGGGTGGCTCACACTTGTAATCTCAGCACTTTGGGAGGCCAAGGCAGACAGATCACTTGAGGCCAGGAGTCCGAGACCAGCCTGACCAACATGGTGAAACCCCATCTCTATCCAAAAATGCAAAAAATTAGCCGGGCGTAGTGGCACATGTCTGTAATCCTAGCAACTCAAGAGGCTGAGGCAGGAGAATCTCTTGAACCCAGGAGGCAGAGGTAGCAGTGAGCCAAGATCGCACCAC